AAGCACCTGGGGAGACCAGAGGTCAACCCCTGTGGTTTTGGAGCGGGGGATACAGAGGATCCGAGGCTCATTATAATCCAACTGAAAAAGAGATATTGGCAGCATATGAAGGAGTTCAAGCTGCCTCAGATGTGGCTGGTACTGAAGCACAGCTCCTCTTAGCACCCCGACTGCTGGCGCTGGGCTGGATGTTCAAAGGGAGGGTTTCCTCTACACATCACGCAGCTGATGCCACATGGAGTAAGTGGGTTGTGCTGATCACACAACGGGCTCGCATAGGAAACCCCAGTTGACCAGGAATTTTGGAAGTGATCACAGACTGGCCAGAAGGCAAAAATTTTGGAATATCGCCAGAGGAGGAGGTGACACGGGCTGAAGAGGCCCCGCTGTATAATAAACTGCCAGAAAATGAGAGGCAATATGCCCTGTTCAATGATGGGTCCTGTCACATTGTGGGAAAGCACTGGAGGTGGAAGGCTGCTGTATAGAGTCCTACACGACAAGTCGCAGAAACTGCTGAAGGAGAAGGTGAATCAAGTCAGTTTGCAAAGGTGAAAGCATTCCAGCTGGCTTTAGATATTGCTGAAAGCAAAAAGTGGCCAGTGCTCTGTCTCTATACTGACTCATGGATGGTGGCAAAAGCCCTGTGGGGGTGGTTACAGCAATGGAAGCAGAGCAACTGTCAGCGCAGAGGCAAACCCATCTGGGCTGCTGCACAGTGGCAAGATATTGCTGCCCAGCTAGAGAAGCTAATGGTAAAAGTACGTCACGTAGATGCCCACATACCCAAGAGTCGGGCCACTGAAGAACATCAAAACAACTAACAGGTGGATCAGGCTGCCAAGATTGAAGTGGCTCAGGTGGACTTGGACTGGCAACACAAGAGCAAGCTATTTATGGCTCGATGGGCCCATGACACCTCAGGCCACCTGGGAAGAGATGCAACATATAGATGGGGTGGACTTGCCCATGGATACTATTGCACAAGTTATCCATGAATGTGAAACGTGCTGCAATTAAGCAAGCCAAGCGGTTGAAGCCCCCATGGTATGGAGGGTGATGGCGGTGAAATATAAATATGGTGAAATATAAATATGGGAAGATTGACTATATCACACACCCACAAACTCTCCAAGGCAAGTGCCATGTGCTTAGAATGGTGGAAGCAACCACCAGGTGGCTAGAAACATATCCCGTGCCCCAAGCCACCACCCAGAACACTATCCCAGGCCTTGAAAAACAAGCCTTGTGGCAACACGGCACCCCAGAAAGAACTGGGTCAGACAATGGGACTCATTTCCAAAACAACCTTATACACACCTGGGCCAAAGAGCATGGCATTGAGTGGGTATATCACATCCCCTATCATGCACCAGCCTCCTGGAAAACTGAAAAATACAATGGACTATTAAAGGCTACATTGAGAGCAATGGGGGCTGGGACCTTCAAACATTGGGATACACATTTAGCGAAAGCCACTTGGTTAGTAAACACCAGAGGATCTGCCCCAATCAGGATGGCCCTGCCCAGTCAGAACTTTTACATACTGTAGAAGGGGATAAAGCCCTTGTAGTTCACAGTAAAAATACGTTAGGGAAGACAGTCTGGTTTAGTGCTGCCTCAGGCAGAGGTAACCCCATTCGTGGAATTGCTTTTGCTCAAGGACCTGGGTGCACTTCGTGGGTGATGCGAAAAGATGGGGAAAGTCTGACGTGTGCCTCAAGGTTCTATTAAATTGTTCTTATCTCAACCCATGAGTTTTACCTTTCTTTCTGATTCCCTCCCCTATTGCACCGGGTAGTGGGGAAGTGAGTGAGCGGCTGCGTGGTGCTTAGGTGCTGGCTGGGGTTAAACCATGACAGACCCACACTGGAGCAGTCTGTGAAGGACTGCAGCCCGTGGGAAGGACTCACACTGGAGAATTTTGTGGAGAACTGTCTCCATGGGAGGGACCCCACACTGGAGCAGGGGAAGAGTGAGGAGTTCTCCCTCTGAGGAGGAAGGAGCGGCAGAGACAACGTATGATGAACTGACCCCAACCTGGGTTCCCTGTCCCACTGCGCTGCTGGAGGGAGGAGACAGAGAAAAAACAGGAGTGGAGTTGAGCTGGGAAGGAAGGAGGGGTGGGGAGAAGGTGTTTTTAAGATTTGGGTTTATTTCTTATTATCCTGTTTTGATTTGATTGGTAGTAAATTAAATTGATTCTGTTTTTTTCCCCAAGTTGAGTCTGGGGTTTTTTGTCCATGACCATAATGGTTGAGTGATCCCTCCCTGTCCTTGTCTTGACCCATAAGCTTTTCTTTATATCTTCTCCTCCTCATGCTACCAGGGAGCGGGAGGTAGAAGGGAGGAGTGAGTGAGCAGCCTCTGTTGCTTTGTTGCCTGCTGGGCTTAAACCATGGCAATAATCCAAGGAATAGTGGCTGTTGGGTGCATTCCAGGAGGGGAAGACAGTCCGAGACAGTCATTTTAAAGCACAATGGACACAGCCAGTGTTTTATGGATTAGGTTAGTTTCACGCAAACAGAAAAAAATTAAAATATGGTAACAGGCCCAAACTGAAACCCAGGTGCATGTGAGACACCAAAGGTCTAAACTCTGTGAATAGTCACGAGGTGTTCTTCAACAGAAAAGATATCCCTCTTTCTGGGACACAAAAATGTGAAAAATGCCGCAGCAGGTAGAAGATACTAGAAAGAAGCCTCAAAAAAAAAAAAGAATAAACACCAGAAATAAGACACTGAGATAAGTCTAGAGTAAGAATATTTTTTATGCTGACTGCTACTTAGAAGAGACCTGAAGCCATGAACAAAAAAATTAGTTTCTTAAACCACAGTTACCCTTTTTCATTCTTGCTCTGAATAGAATAGGACACTTTGTAAGCAGTCAAATATCTCCCATGTCACATCTGTTTGTAATTCCTTAACAATCCAAAATAGACAATATAGACTAAAATATGCACCCTCAGTAAGTTCGCAGACAACAGCAAGTTGGGCAGGAGTGTTGATCTGCTTGAGGGAAGGCAGGCTCTACAGAGGGATCTGGACAGGCTGGATCGATGGGCTGAGGCCAACTGTATGAGGTTCAACAAGGCCAAGTGCGAGGTCCTGCACTTGGGTCACAACAACCCCATGCAGCGCTACAGGCTTGGGGAAGAGTGGCTGGAAAGCTGCCCGGCAGAAAAAGACCTGCGGGGGGGGGGTTGGTCAACAGCTGGCTGAATAGGAGCCAGCAGCGTGCCCAGGTGGCCAAGAAGGCCAACAGCATCCTGGCCTTTATCAGAAAAAGAGCATGGCCAGCAGGAGCAGGGAAGTGATTGTCCCCCTGTATTCAGCACTGATGAGGCCGCACCTCAAGTACTGTGTTCAGTTTTGGGCCCCTCACTACAGGAAAGACATTGAGGTGCTGGAGCATGTCCAGAGAAGGGCAACGAAGCTGGTGAAGGGTCTAGAGAACTAGTCTTACGAGGAGTGGCTGAGGGAACTGGGGTTCTTTAGTCTGCAGAAAAGGAGGCTGAGGGGAGACCTTATTGCTCTCTACAACTACCTGAAAGGAGGTTGTAGCGAGGTGGGTGTCGGTCTCTTCTCCCAAGTAGCAAGTGATAGGACAAGAAGAAGCAGCCTCAAGTTGTGCCAGGGGAGGTTTAGATTGGATATTAGGAAAAATTTCTTCACCAAAAAGGCTGTCAAGCATGGGAACAGGCTGCCCAGGGAAGTGGCTAAGTGATCATCTCTGGAGGTATTTAAAAGATGTGTAGATGTGATGCTGAGGGATACGGTTTAGTGGTGGACTTGGCAGTGTTAAGTTTACAGTTGGACTCGATGATCTTAAAGGTTTTTTCCAACCTAAATGATTCTATGGTTCTACGATAAATAAAAAACGTGCATCAAGAATCACATAAGATACTATTCTCCAAATGGGTAACTTACCATCTTTGTTCAGCCATTGTTTTCTTTGTCTGTAGAGGACAAGTTTATTGTGGACATATGGCAAAAGAAACTTGACACACCAGCTTTCCACACCAAGCTTGTTTTCTACCAGGACGATAGGGCTCCGGTTATACCTGGCTTCAGGGCAGGGTATTAATCCAATTTCATCTCTTAAAAAAAACAGAAAGAAATAATTAAACTTATTTCCAGTAGATGCCAATTATTCTTCTCAATAGAGCAGACTGGCAATGCTTCCCACCCAGTTAGTCCATCACCTTTTTCCCCGTTTTTACCAAAACCTGTACTTATTATCCTCAACTCACCTTCTTGATTCTTGCAGAACTGCAGGTAGGGTAAAATACATTTTCAGAAAGCCATCCTCTGCAAAACTTACGCAGTATATTAACTTGGCAAATGAATGATTCAAACATGTTTTAAGGCATGAATAAAGATTTAAGCTGAGCAAAAAAAGTAAATGTATTTTACCTCTGCACAATTTATTTAGACATAATATAAAAGCCGGTTGTGGTTTTGAGTTAAGAGCCACTACAAAATTTTGTATTAGCTCCCCAGTGCTGTAGTGATAGCAAACCAGAAATATTTTAAGACTTGCTGAAGACTATTAGATGAGCCAGAATGAGTTCAAAAGGAAGATTCCTTTTGGTGATTCTGGCTCTTCCCAATCTTAAGATAAAAGGAAAAGTTTTATTAGATTTTTCCCAAAGATCCTAAATGAGGAAGGCCCCTTTATTTGTATTTTTAGATTATCACCTAAGCATTTTAACTCAGCTGCATTAACACAAGTACCCCGGCTTTGTGCTGGAGATGTGATGGAGCTGTAACTGCTACTGCAAGTGAAACAAAACATGTTAACTAGTAGAGGCACCTGACTGACCCAAATGTACCCAAGTGCGCCCTGCAGCAGCATGACCAGGTGCTTTGAAACCAAAGATCAGGCAAAAGAAAGTCACATAGACAGCAACGTGCGCACCTCCACATGTACGTTTCCACACGTCCCATTTTCCCTTCTCCTATGCAAGGCAGTCTGCTGAACAGGGGTAAGATTTGAGACACAGATGCTGGTCTGATTAAACAGCAACTTTGTGTGAGAGGCTTTAATCAAGGCTTTAAAAAAAAAACAACAGTGATGGCCACAAAGATTCATACCAGCAAACAAAGCAGAAGAGACTCAGCTGTTTAGTTTGAAAGGGCCATATCATATTTTACTTTTTCCTCAGCTTTCTCTAGTATGTAGGGATGTTGGAAATGCAGCTTTAACAGATTCTTAGAAACAAATACAGGTTGTCAAGCATTCACACTGGTTTGGACAGAAAGCAACATTATTTTATATTTCCATTATGCATGATTTCTCCACCAACTCCTGTTTAGTGGAAAATTTTGTTGTTGAGGAGGGACATCGTCAGATCTTAGTCAGGAAAAAAAAAATTTCTTGTGATCTCAGATAGAAAGCAAATCCTCCACCTTAAATTTTCTCAATACAAGGTCTACAGATACACTACAAGTGTCAGCCCCACAACCCCAATTCAATTATCTTAACCTAATTTTCTTACTGGACAATCTGAGTGTACTGATTTAGTTCTGTGTCCTCACTGGATTAATACGAAAGTAATCAAGAGTGACGCCATGTCCTTGTTTAAGAATATATTTGTTTGTTCAGAAAGCAGATTTAATCTTCCATACATCACAAGCCACAAAGAGCACAAGTAACTCGAGGTAAGATATTTACAGATCACTTGGCTCTGTCTCCATACACACACCCAGGTCTCTTACAGCTCCCTGGTCCTCTGAGAGAGGAAAACAGGTGTTTTCCTACCCCATGGACTGCAAGCAATGGGTATCAAAGCAAGATCCTCATCTCTGCTGCTCCACTCAACACAAGTTAAGCTCTTCAAGAAGCTAGTCAGATTAGACCTAAAACGACATTCCGGTCTGCTTCTTTCAACATGGTACCTTATAGCCTGAAGTTTGTACTTACTGCTGGCTCCTTTCTTTTATGAATGTTAAACTCGGTCCTTGGCCAAACTTTGCCTGGACTTGCATATAGGGACATACAGGTTCCCACCTGCAATGAAGATGCAGTCACCCACAGCTTTGCTAATTAACTCAGTGAATTACCACAAGAATTTACCAGCTGTTGCTTACAAACAGTATACCAAAGGTAAACAGCAAGGAGAGAAAGAAAAAAAAAAAAAAAACCCAAACCATCCATCCACACCTTCACTTCTTACCAAATACAAAAGTTGAGGTAAGGTGAGGTAAGTTTCACAACACTGCTTTAAACATACCAAAATGACACACATGTAGGGTTTTTTGCACAGAGCCAACAAGTCAGCCTGAAACACCCCAACTCCAGAACACAAAATTGGCAGAGGACTAGACCACTGCATAATGAAATTCACCACGATACAGTGCAACACAAAAAATGGTTTATCTGTTAACTACTCAGTTTTTGCTAAGATGCAAACCAGGACTTGTCATTTGGTAGAAGTGTTGTCTCCAACACCTTGGTATTGTTTTTGATGATCCGTGTGGTTCAGAAATCACATATTGCATTCAGCTCCTGAAAAGGAACAGAATTCACAATGCAAAATACCAGGAGGGCAGATTTATCCAAGATGGGGTGCCTACCTCACAGCCAAAACAATTCATTCAAACCACCACCTCTTTCTGCTCCTGAAGGTCCCTCAATCTGCAGAAGGAGTAAGTAACACAGCAGGTGTGTCAGCCAAAGAGACACTGCCTCTGCTCTATCATGTACCCAAAGAAAGCTTCTGCAGCAAGACTTGTAAGCAGGCACCACTGAATTAGTGCTTGTAAAATGAAGTGACTGAAGTACCCTTCATCTTGTGCAAACCGCCCTTGGCCACGTGACAGAAGATGTGCCTGTTCGTGACAGGATTGCCCAAACTCATTGCAGGATGGATGATGCTTCCATTTAGGTCAAGTGACAGGTGTAAGCTGCTCACAATCCTGAAGGAGACACCAATTGAGGGCTGCTGTTTGTTGATATTTTGTACTACCAGAAGCACCATCTACTATGAAAGTAAGATTTAGTTTCTCTCCTTATCCCAGTTTTCTGATATTGCCTCTTGAACTTTAGGAGTTATTTGGTGCTTTTACATTTATTTTCCTCAAAGCAAGCACCACCAAGTTCCAAAAACTGCATGAATTATCTCTGTATTTACAGGATACCACACTAGTTCACATTCCTAAAATACACCATGGAAGCAGCCAGAACTTAGTGGAAGATTTTTAGCTGGGTTGTCATGAAGTCTGCAGCCGTTACAGAGCTTCTTCAGCCCGTGCTGAGGCCGAAGAAGATGTGCAAGATGAGACCTGGGAGACCATGGAGCTGCACAATCCAGACCTGGTCCACAGTGCAAACCTCAGCTGTGGCAGAACAGTACTGAGAAGCCACTGCAGGACCTGCTTCAAGAGTCCCAGTCTGTTGACTCAGCCATTCAATGGCCCTCCCCAAATAAGCCCTAGCCAACCTACTTTAAACTTTTAAAACCATGATGATACAGAAAAGTTCCTTCTTTCACATAATCGCAATACCACAGCACTGCTAGGGAAGGAGGCATTTCTTGTGATGCTACCGTGACGGGTCTTCAGCTTTGGGTAGCCCATGTGAAGATTCCCTCTCTCATTTTTTTCTGGAAGATCATCTTTAAAATAACCCAATCTCTCCCCACAGAATTAGACAGAGGATATTAAACAATGGCTGGGAGATCTGAACAAGGCACAATCAGTGGATACAATGCAACTATGATTCTCCTAACAATAAAGACTGGACCTACGTAGCTGAGTAAAGCTTTTAATACTGGAAGACAATCCAGAGCATGGACACTTGAAAAGTGTATATTTTTACATTAAAATAAGTCTCATGAAATGACTACATGGCTAACAAATTTACAACATTTGAAAGCTAAGGAAGAGAGTGCCTAAATCCAAGAGTTAAATTTTTTTTTTTCCTTATTGTGCAGTGTGTCATATACACACGATTCTCTTTTAGAATTTCAGATAATAAATGAATTTGCACATTATGATTAGCCATTATCTTAGTGGTACAACTAAAATCTTTCATAAATGAAAGACCAGTAATATATTACTGAAATCCAAAGTACTTCTAGCCAATATTTACTTCTAAAGAAGCTATAAATATGTCACTTGCACTCTTTAGGAGTTTCCTTTTGTTTGCTCTCACATTAATCTCCACTTGATTGGAAACTGCTGCAGTAACAAAGTTCTGCACTGATGACCCCTCTCACTAACTATTACAAACAAATTATTTTTACTTACTAATAGTATATTTGGAAGTACCGATGCTGCACAAAGGTATTAAACAATCTAACAAAAAGAGCATTGGCAAGAAAAATTTCATACTCAGCTACAGTAAAGACTTAAGGAAATATGTTTCTTTCTAAATCCCCTGCAGAGAAATTTGCCGTCACACCAGGAAAGACCTTGATTCAGAGTTTCATATCTAACAAAATGAACTGTGGTGGTTTCCCTACATTAAGACTGTGATGAATTGAGACAAAAAAATTATCTGAGCTACAGTGACATAAATGATTCTTGGCAAACCATAAATGGTATCCTCAGATTTTGTACACAAATGCTAGGCTACCATCTGAGAGTTCATCCTTCCGATTACACCCATCAAATTCATGTACTTTTCTGACAAGTGAGTCTATTTCTGTTTGACTTCACATGCAAAATAACAGCAAAGTTCAGAAAGAAACTATACGTTGATCTGCTCATGCTCACTGTTGGTGATCCGTTCAGTTCCAGGGGGATAGCTCAAGTATATGACTTTATCGTGACCTATGCTTATAAGGCCGCGTAAAAATATCTTCCAGTAAATTTCATAGCCTTACAAAATTGAAAGCAAGCATGCCGACACAGTTATCTGGCTGAAGAAAGTGTAGCTATCAGGCAGACAAGGCAAAAAGAATTTTGTGTTGTATAATTAGTTAGAAGTAAGTTCATCTTAAAAGGATGAAATCTTGCTGCAAATTTAATTTAAAGCAAAGAAAGAGAAACAACAATCCAACATTCTACTTAGTCTGAAACTGTATTTTTACATGTTTTTTAGTGTTGACCAGAGACAACACCCCCTTTAAAACCTACAAAACCATGAACCTATCAGAACAAAACACGCATTCTGACAGATGTAAAGGGGGAAAGTAAACAGTGAAAAACAAGGGACAACAAATGCTGGAAGAGAGATGAGTAGGGGATAAAAGTATGAGATGTGAAAAGGAACATCACGCACGTGGCAGATCCCTTATTTTCAGTGGAGCCAGGAGATGCCATGTAAAAGAATTCAAACCTGGATCTGTGACATGAACAGGCTGCTCAATTCAAGAGGACATCTGTCAGGGACTGCAGCTGCTTACGACTGTCTTGACCACCAGCAGGAAGACAAGATGTCTCCGAGTTACATGAAAATGTCTGGCCAGCACGTCTGCAACCTGGTGCTCTAGAGGCAGAGAGGCATCGTAGCAAAGGGCCTACAGTCTACACTGGCCATGCACAGTCCCATTTCAAGTACTGCAGGTCAGAAATCTAGCAGACCAAATTGCTGCTTTTT